ATTTTTTTTTTCATATAATTGAAATTTGAGGATTGATTTTTGTATTGTTGTATCAGATAAGGCCTAATTACCACATAGAAGGCCTTTTTGACGAGAACAAGATCTTTGAGACTAAAAAACCCAAACAACACTCAAACCCCATAACTCAGTTATGGCACATGAATGGTAAATTCCCCAAATTAAAAGAACTAAAGAAGAAGATGTTTTGAGGGCAAGCTCAATCAAAAGATATGGTAAAAAGAAACATAGGGTCGTTCTTCAGTCTAGGTCTACGATCCTGATTTCATCAATCAAGGTGGTCATCATGTGGTTTTTAATTTTCATGTTAGTACATGTTTAAGAGATGATGCAAGATAAATCAAGAGATGGAGAACTTCTAGTTTAGATAGAGAAAATTTATTTGGATTTAGAAAGAGAGAATGAATTGATGATGATGAATGAGGGAAAAAATAAAAAGTAATAAAAAAAGTAATGATTTTAGAAAAAAAATTATAAAATAAATTACAAAGTAATTAAGTGTCACTTTTTAAACTTCAAAAATCACTTTAAATTTGCCTCAAACCACAAAATAGTTTTATATAACTTACCCTAAATTTTATTATGAATTTTGTAGTTTTTCAAAGCAATAATAATAATAATATTTCATTTGCTGGAATGACTTTACAAGATTCTTTACATGTTACCATAAGACGTCTTCTTTCACTAAGAAAAAAGGTAGCATTGAGAAAAGTAGTAAAAAGAGTAAGACATATCCATCTTGTAATCGCAAAAGTCATACAAAGCATACTTGTGGTAAGTATCAATAATTAAAGTAAGTAATCAAACTAAGTCCATTTTTTTCCTTTGTTCTATCTTTTTTAACTTTAAAATTAACATTTTTTTATTTATGTGGTCTTATGAATATTGCAGTAACGAGTTTAGTTCAATGTGAACTTCTAGCACTATTAATATGATTGAACCCTAACTTTTTATGGTATGTTGATCTTTCTTTTTTTTTCTTCTTATAGTCTTTCATGATGTGCTTTGACTATTCAAATGATATTTTATTTGGGTTACGTAGGATATGTTAAACAAAAAAGCTTCCATAGAAAGATGAAATTGGATTTCAAGTTACCACATTCTGGAGAATTAGTATATCACAAACTCTATGTAATAACTTTTTTATTTTTTTTGTTTTTGCCAACATAAAAAAAATAATTAAGCAAAAGGTGGTTTTTGAGACATTATAATGATTGAAGCTTAAGTATTATGTTATTTATTTGATTAATAAAAATATTTTTGTTTATTTAATTTAAATTTAAAGAAAAAGCTTCTCCAGAGGTCTATTTCAAACCTCGAACAGGGCTTCATATGCTGTAACTGCATCAGTTGTGGTAATAGCCGAAGGGTTACCGTCTTGATCTAATGTCTGCTCCAGTTCAACTATTAACTGTAACCACTAAACCATATGATGAAGCAGTTATCCGCACCCATTCTTAATTTAATGGTATTATGGATTTAAGCATAAGTTAGGAAAAGTGAATTCAAAATTAACGGTTTAAATTATCATTTGCAAAGTTTCATAGATTAAAGTTGAGTTTGTACTATTATAATGAATGAACCACTGGACAAATTAGGAAACATTTGTTCAATAAATTAGGATTAAATTAGGAAACATGTCAGAACATAACAGGCAAGATGCAAAGTTCAAAAGACATCCAAGTTGCATTCGATACTCCTGATTGTGGCTAGAAATAGAAACAGTACAAACTTATGTGCCAGAAGGTGTTTCATTGGAGTTCAAATGAAGATGAGGCATAGTAAGTCTCAAACAAAGTGAATCCTCAGTGCTATACCGCTGGCTAGATAGTATGGATGACATTTCAATATTGGCTCTGCGCTCAATATGTATCTCTCATTTTCTCTTTCTTGGCTTTCTTTTTGCTTTCTGAAGCTTCACTTCAACTTTCAGTCCTCTGATTTGCAGATCCCCTCTCATAGGTATGTATTTTTGTCATGCTTTTGGGGTTTTCTTTCCATTTACCAAACAAGATTGACCAAGCCTGACCTTTACAATTTTAAAATAATAATAATAATAATATTAATAATAATAATAATAATAATAATTTTCTACCTATTGAAATGTTTATTATTATTTGAGATTCAAATTTGATATCTCATATTTATACTTATTAAATCATATATCATATATATTATTATATTATAAGATACATGATTATTTGATAAAATTTATTTATGTATAATCTTATATACACAATTTATATTTTTGACATGTACAATAATTCTTTCATTATAATTGTCTGCCAATAACCTTATCATTTGAATTTTAAAAATGTTTCAAATCTTAAAAATTAGATTTATTCAAATATTTTTATGTTAAATATTTCATAATTTTTATCCTCATTTAAGTAAGATAAAGTTATTTAGATCATTCCAATTAAAAATTAAAATCTCATTTAAAATTTATAAAATATGTTCATAATTTTTATGTTACATTTAAATTATATAAGTACATTATAAAACAATTTTGAAGTTTTAGATTTTTTTATTAATTAATTAATTACTTATTATTATTACATGTTATAAAGCGTAAATGTATTTAGATATTGCATTTTTATTATTAGATTTGTAATATATATTTTTAATATTTTCATCTTAAATCAATTGATTTTTGTGTCATAGTTAATAAAACTAAACGCACTTATGAAATATGTATATTGTTATAATTTCGTCATATACAATAAATATATAACTTTTATTTTCACTTAAAATTATTTTTTACTATAAATTTAAGTTTTAAGTAAAATGTTATAAAAAGATTTTCTTTGATAAGTTAAATAAGACCATAAATCCATAATAACATATAATACTTATAGTTATTTATTATTTTTATTGCAATAATACTTTTTCAATGTTTTATGAGTCCTATGATGTATGTAGAATAATGATAATTATATAAAAAAAATTATTTAAGAAAGTAATTAAGAACAAAATAAGTGAAAAAAAATCTTTTATATTCAATTTTGGTGTGGGGTTAAATTGACATCATATAAAAAAAAAGATAATAATATATGACAAAACATTCACTAACCAAGTAATTAACTTTTAATTAAAATAATGTTAAATTTAAAAAAAAATTAAATTATCGATCTTTTATAAATGTTTAAAAATAAATAATTAAAAATATATTTTTTCTAAATTCAAAATCACACGTCTTTTTAACTTTTTTTATTTTCCAATATTTTATCGTTAGTTTCTTTTTAAATTAAAAAAAAATACATATCACTTTAACTCTATTAATAATATGTACTACCTCATTTTTTTCAATATTCGAATTTCCTTTAAAATTTCTATTATTTTTTTATTTTGTTGTTTATTTGTCAAACATTTCTTAATTGATTTTTTCAATATTTTAATCAAAATCATAATTTAGTGAAAGCATGTAAATTTTTTTATTATTTAATTGATCATTTAATATTTTATTTTTATGCTATTTTAAAAAACCAATATTATATATATTTAATTCTTTTTTACTTTTTGTTCCATATCTAATATGTTATTTTTTTTAGATTTGTTTTCAATATGTTGATCAAGATAATAATAGTAAAGTTTAATTTTCATGACATTAATTAAATATGTATTTATATTTTATATATGTCATAAAATTTTAAAAACTTAGATATAATTGTAAAAAATATATAAATTTTGTAATTTAAACATATATTTGAAAAAAAAATTCACACAAGAGCTACAAGCTAGTTAGATTAGATGACTTATAACGTGTGCGTAAAATTTCTCACAATGTGACACGTTTATTTACATTTTTACTAATATTCATATAATTTATTTTCAATTCTTTTTTAGATTTAAATTTTTTAGTAAAAAATCAAAATTCTTGTAAGGACAAAAAAATTAAAAGTTGGGGTACTAATGTAGTAATACCCAAAACTTCAAGGACTAACCACATATTTTATCAAAAGAAAGCGTGACCTTCACGCTTTGATAAACCGATATAATTGCTTTTCAATTCTTTTTTAGATTTAAATTTTTTAGTAAAAAATCAAAATTATTATAAAGACAAAAAAAATTAGAAGTTTGGGTGCTAACATAGTAATACCCAAAAGGACTAACCGCATGTTGTATCAAAAGAAAGAGTGAAGCATGTTGTATCAAAAAGAAAGCGTGAGCTTCACGCTTTGATAAACCCGATACGGTGAAATTGAAAAGCTTCCTTTCGGGGTTCAGCCATTTTTTTTACTATTTTTATTGTTTTTTAAATTTTAAACTTAATAAGGTAGCAGGGCGTATTTGAAAAGGGTTTTTTTTTATGTAGAAAAACTATAAAAAGTTCTTAAACCTGAAAATGCAAAAACACAAGTCCTAAAAGGAAAAAAAAAATAAAGATAGTGCTATCTTCTATTTATAACTAGCGAGACTCAGAGTTTCAACATCAGAGTCGTGCGATTTTTTTTTTTTTCTATGTGACTCGTGTCAATGAATTTATCTATTAATTATAAATAAATTAACTTCTTAATGTCTGATTTTAAGCAATCAAAATTATAATTAGATTAAATTTAGAGAGTAGACAAAATAATGGCTCCTCTCTATTTGTGATTTTACAATATAAATTTTTAATTTTTTTAAACAACTTTTTAATAGTTTTTCGGTGACATATTTGATACCCATGATAAGGTTTTTTCAAGACATTTATACCTTTTCATTTGATTGTGTATTTTAAAAATTATAATATTTTAAAAATGAAAAAAAATGGTTTTGACAATTTTAATAACACAATTTTATGTAACTGAAATTTCACATTTCAATAAGTTTTTTAATTAATTTTTTGATGATTTTTGTAATATGATATGTGATCTTAATTTTAGTATAAATGACTTGATTAAAGAATTTTTATGTTAAAAGAATCAAAATTTTGAAAATAATTAAATAATTTTAAAACTTAGAAATCGAAATTCAAATGCAAAAAACAAACAATAGAGAGATGAAGGCGGAGGCAATAGATACCTGCTATTGCGCACTATATGTGCAACATAGGTCTTTAGTTGCATATTCATTCTGGAAATTGCATGCGTGGAATACATACTATCCATATACTAGAAACCGAATCTCGGCCTCTCTTCCTCTCGGCCTCTACTTTACATCGCATCAGCTTCATTAGCATCATCATTGGGTGCAGCTCTCTCAACCTTAATAGAGTGATAATATAAACGACGCAAAAGCTTACCAAACAACTTGATTTCATCTTCAGATACGTGCTCATAAATTGTCACTACATCACCAACTCTTAGATCATGAAAATCAACAAAAAGTAGCCATTCCTTCTGCAAAACAGGCTTTTTGAAGCCTGTTTTGCGGATCGAGCAAGCAAACGTCCACACGCGCCCACTACTCTCTTCTTCATGAACTGGAAACTCCATGGGACGAGATCTGCTACTTGGGAAGAAGGCAAGACTCTTGGTGGGGATAGCCAATCTTTTGCTGATATCAGTTGGAGCGAGGCGCTTGGAGCAGATCCGTCTCCTCATATCTATGCATATATATTGTTAAAAGTATAATAATATCACTCTTTCTCAGACAAAACATTGAAAAATTTTCAAATTATTAAATCATAGCTCAAAACAATTTCATATTTTTCAAAACAACAAATGGAAGATTCAGTAAGAGAAACTGATTACCTTCTTGAAATGCCATTTGAAACGTTTATTATAGTGATGAAAACGGGGAGCAATTGTTTCGTTTACTCTCCAAATTTGCTCATAGGTTAGAATCAAATATGAAAAGGTTGACATGTTAAGAATACATAAACAAATAATTATAGACGCGTGTCACGAGATAAAGCCGATCGTACAATCTTTTTTTTTTGACGTTTTTAAAATTGATATAAAATTAACACGTGTCTTATCTTTTCAATTTCACTGGTTTATCAAAGTGTAAAGCTCACACTTTCTTTTGATAAGATATACTTGTAATTTTTTGACCTTATATACGATTTTGATTTTTTATTAAAAAATAATTGAAAAAAAAAACATCATATTAGTAAAAATGTAAACAAACGTGTCACGTATGAGAAATTTTTATACACACATTGTAAGTCATCTAATCTAACTAGTTTATAACTCATATTATGGATAACTTATTTTATTTATTTAAATATATATTTATATCAAAAAATTATATATTTTTTACAATTATATCTTCGGCTCAAATATTGTGGTTGGGAACGGAAGCTCCAACGAGAGTTTCGGTTCCACCACCATTGCTAAGGCTGCCGTTCGCGTTTCTCGGACTTCGAATTTGGCTTGAAGCGCAAGAAAAGGAAAAGTAGAAAAGATTAAAAACTACCAGTCCTTGGGTTTTCATAGACTTCCATGTTTTTTTGAAAACGACGTCGACCTAACTTTATCAGGCTTTTCTGCTTCAGCCCAATATGTTATAATCCAACCTAAACACCGGTGCTTCTATTTAATAAAATTTATCAAAATATCCATTTTAGTATAAAATTTAATAAAAGAATAAATAATAATATTCATTTAGGTGGGATATCGCTCATTGTTATGGATTAAAATTTTTTTATTTATAATTTTTATTCATCGCTTTTTTAATTTTATTTAATTTTAAAAAATAAAGATAAAAAAACTCAAATGAAAGTGAACGTAATACTTAAATGGACAATTTATTTTTACAAAATATCAATTATAAGAAAATTTTTAATTTTTTTTGTGAAACTCATTTAATATCAAATTTTAAATAAAAAATCGATAAATACATATTTAATAATAAAATAATAAATTTACTTTGGATTCTTTCATTAGTTTTTTATTAAAAATCAACTTGGATTGCATTCAAATTATTTTTAAATACTTTCATATCGAATCAAAAAGATAAAAAAATTTATGGATATAATATTTTATCATCTTTAAAATCGACTCATTTTATTGAAAATCATTGTAGAAAAATAAAAATATACAAAAGGAAATAAACAAATGAGAATTCGACATTGACACCTTTATTAACATTTTTTTTTTTACAAAAATGATCTAATTAAAAAACAATAAATGAAAAAAAAAAGAAAAAAATTTTTAAAAAAAAGAAAAAATTTTTTTAATTTTCTTTGTGTGAAACTCATTTAATATCAAATTTTAAATAAAAAATCAATAAATACATATTTAAATATAAAATTAAATAAATATACTTTTATTCTATCATTAGTTTTTATTAAAAATCAACTTGGATTGATTCAATATTGATTTTTTTTAAATACGTTCATATCGAATCAAAACAGATAAAAATTTATTGGATATTAATTATTTTATCATCTTTATTAATCTACTCATTTTATTATAAAATTAATTTGATTAGAAAATAAAAAATATACAAAAGGAAATAAACAAATGAGAATTCGACATTGACACCTTTATTAACATTTTTTTTTACAAAAATGATCTAATTAAAAAACAATAAATTAAAAAAAAAGCAAAAAAATTTAAAAAAAGAAAAAATGACCACTATTAGACCGAGTCAAATTTCAACTCATCATATACGAATTATTTATCTATCCATCAACTCCTTTGTTGCAAATTTTATATAATTAAAATTTGAAATGAAATGAAAAAAAATAAAATTATTGTACCTCATTAACATCTCAATTAGGCTTCTAAAACAAATTTATCTAAATAAAAACAAAAAAGAGCTGTAAAAAAGGATAAAAAAGTTTTAAAAAATAAGATATTACATTAATATATTGAATGAGAGTCAAATAAAGATAAAAATAAACAGAATTTATATAATTAATGAATGAATGAATTGTATCTTAATTATTTATAAATATAATATTTTTATTAAAAAATAAAGATTAAAAAAAAGCGTAGAGTAAAGTGGGTCTCACTTTTGAAAATAAAATTTATAAAAAATATTTATTAAATATAAAAATTAGTAAAAAAAGGATAAAAAAACTGAAAAAAAATAAAAATAAAAAAATAAAAGAGTGCCACATGATACTTCTTTGATCATGTAGTGTTTGTTCATACATGATTAAAATTTAATTTTTAAATATCATATTTTCTCTTGCAAGGCATAACATCTTTTGCAATTTTGCTTTTAGAGCTTTTTCCTTGGACAAAGGGCCGAATTTTTAAGTCCACTAACAAATTATAAAAAAAAAAAAAAACTTAAATTGATAAAAGAAATCCAATAATTATACTTAAATTCTAACACTTGTTCTTGTCTTCGTATATATGCAACTCAAATGAATTAATAATTAATGAGTTTGTACATAGATATATATATATATATATATAAGGTACTAATTGGACAGTTAAAGAAGGAGTACCACACACGCGAGTTTAATTTAACTTTATATTATACTTTTTAATTGATTTGTTTGTTTAGAACCACACACGCGAGTCTAATTAAATATGTTTTACTTGATAGATAATGAAAATTATTTAATTGTGATTGTAATTTACTTGTAATATTTTACCTTAAAAAAAACTCAAGAATTATAGGTTAAGAAAATATTGGATAAACAAATTAATGAAAATAGTATATTTATATATATATATAAGATATTTGAGATTCAAATTTGAGATTTCATATTTACACTTATTAAATTATATATCATATATAATATTATATTATAAAATATCTGATTATTTGATAAGATTTACTTACATATAATCTCACATAAAATAATTCTTTAATTGTAGTTGTCTATCAATAATCTTGTTATTTGAATTTAAAAAATGTTTCAAATCTTAAAAATTAGACTTATCCAACTATTATTATGTTAAACATTTCATAATCTTCATCCTCATTTAAATGAGATAAAATTATTCAGATCATTTCAATTAAAAATTAAAATCTCATTTAAAATTTATAAAATATGTACATATTTTTTATGTTACATTTAAACTATATAAGTACATTATATATGACAAAACATTCACTAATCAAGTAATTAACTTTTAATAAAAATAATGTTAAATTTAAAAACAAATTAAATTATTGATATTTTTATTATAAATATGCAAAAATAAATAATAAAAAATATATTTTTTCTAAATTCAAAATCACACATATCTTTTATGTCTTTCTCAATTTTTAAATATTTTATTGCTAGTTTCTTTTTAAATTAAAAAGAAAAACATATTACTTTAAGTTTATTAATAATATGTACTTCCTCTTTTTTTTTTCAGTATTCAATTTTCCTTTAAGATTTATATTATTTTTTTTATTTTATTGTTTATTTTACTTAAATGATTTTTTTCTTTTGATATTATTTATATTCAACTCATTTTTGTTTGTCAAACATTTTTTAACTGATATTTTTTAGTATTTTGATCGAAATCATAATTTATTAAAGGTATGTAAATATTTTTTTTATTATTTAATTGCTCATTTAATATTTTATTTTTATGTTATTTTAAAAAACCAATATTATTGATATTAAATTCTTTTTTACTTTTTGTTCCATATCTAATATGTTGTTTTTTTCAAATTTGTTTTCAGTATATTGATCAAAATAATAATACTAAATTTTAATTTCTATGATATATTAATTGAATATGTATTTATATTTCATATATGCCATAAAATTTTAAAAATTTACATATAACTGTAAAAAATAAATAAATAAATTTGTAATGTAAACATATATTTAATAAATAAAATAATTCATTCATGAGTTACGAGTTAGCTAGATTAGATGACTTATAACGTGTGCGTTAAATTTCTCACAATGTGACACGTTTATTTACATTTTTATAATATTCATAACTTTTTTTTCCAATTCTTTTTTAGATTTAAATTTGTTAGTAAAAAATCAAAATCATTATAAGGACCAAAAAAATTAAAAGTTGGGGGGTACTAATGTAGCAATACCCAAAACTTAAAGGACGAACTGCATATTTTATCAAAAGAAAGCGTGAGCTTCACGCTTTGATAAACCCGATACGATGAAATTGAAAAGCTTTCCTTCCGGGCTTCAGCGATTTTTTTTACTATTTTTATTTTTAATTTTTAATTTTTTTAACTTAATAGGATGACGGGAGTAAATGAAAAGGTTTTTTTTTTTTTTTTATGTAAAAAAGTATAAAATTTTTATTTTCTGTCGTAATTTAATGATCACAAAAGTTTTAAAAAGACATAAAAATTTAATTTTGAATCAATCCCCTCTCTCTTATCTTATAATAGGGCTTTGCCTCCTTAGAAATAAATTAAAACTGACATTACATAAGTACGCGTTGAAAAATAAAAAAAAAAGACTAAAGATAACGCTCATAATTTGTGAGAGTTAGAGTTTTAACATTAGAGTCATGCGATTTTTTTTTTTTTTATTATATGATTCGCATCTATAAATTTATTTATTCATTATAAATAAATTAACTTCTCAATCTCTGATTTTAAGAAATCAAAATTACAATTAGAATAAAATTATAGTGTAAATGAAATAATAACTCATTTTTATTTATGATTATATAATATAGATTTTCAATTTTTAAATGATTTTTTGGTAATTTTTCGATGGAATATTTGGTACCTACAAAAGGGTCTTCTCTAGACATTTTTAATGGATTTTGCACCCCCTCATTTGATTGTGTATTTTAAAATTTATGAATATTTTAAAGTTAAAAAAATAATATTAAACAATTTTAATAACCTAACTTTAAGTCACTGAAACTTCATATTTTGATAAATTTTTTGGTTAATTCTTTGGTAGTTTTTTGTAATATGATATACGATCTTGATTTTGATATAAATAACTTGATCAAGGGATTTTTAT